TGATCTTATAATATCAGAGTAAATTCCTGGATTATCATATGCTTGTCAAGCAAATGTAGTTTTCCCTTTACTAGCTGTTCCTACTGCAGTTGAAAATGTTAATATTTTTAGGGGTTCTGGATATTGATTAATATCATTGATTAAGTTGTATATATATTCCAGATTTTTTATCAATTGTTTAACTTCCTCTTCACAATTTACAATCTTTAGTTAAGTTGAAATATCGGGAACCTCATTCGGGACACTGTCAGATAATGTAATTAATTCACGAAGTGAGTTTTCCAGATCAACTATATACAGATCAAGAATCTGTTTGATAGTTTCTTTTGGTTCTATGGTAAATTTTTGTTCTGTATAAATCGGAAGAAAAAAAAAGTGATAGTTCATGAGGATCAATAAAGCTAAATATTATTCAAATACTATTTATACTTAGAATAAAAAAGCATACAGATTCTCTGAGTATTTTCTCTCCTATATCTTTCAAATACTTAGTCTGTTTTTCTTGTGTTGCCAAAGTATGAAGTAAAGAACTGTAAAAAGTTGCGAACTCAATGTTCATAGAGAAATATAAAAGTATATTATTTTTTTTTTTCATCTGTAAAATCAGTGTTTTTAAGTGCATTGAAAAGATCTTCGCTACTGTTCCAGTGTCCATATTTGTGAATACAGAGAAGCTACTCGAGTAAAAACGTGAAAAATCGACTATTATTGATGCAACAAAAGTTCACAATGATGGAAGTTTAATTAAATAAGTTTTGTCTGTGATTAATTACGTACATACTGTACATACATAAAATGGTGATAGTTTTGATAATAATGTCACAAGAACTGATTAGTTGAACAATAAAATTTTCTTACAATCAAGGCATCAATCTTAAAAAAATTATTGAATTTACCCGATTTCGATTTGGTGCATGTGACCGCAAAATTTTCTTTCATTATTATGTTACCTTAATTAATTGCCTAGTAACTGATTTTTAAATCTTTCTTTGAACATTAATAAAAATTAATATCAAGAAGACAGATTTTCAATCTTTAATACAAAACATCACATAAATATTAAGTATTCAGTAGTCGCAAAAAGATCTGGAAACAATAGTTTACATCATATATTCTATAAATTGAGACAATTTCGTTAAACAAATGCTAATTCGTTTAAATTTAAGTTGGTAAAAAACGGATTAACGGCTCTTGAAATATAGCTGTTAAAGGGTATCAAATATTAAAATTAGAATCGAAAGTCAGTGAAAATAAGCAATTGCCTTGTCAATTTTTCATGAATGGATGATTATGAATGTTAGCATTCATTGAAATTTAAAATTAATCAGCCATTCTTGAAATATGATAATATTCGCATATAGCTAATACATTTTCAATGTTTTGAATACTATTTCATTTTATTCACAAGCATTATATTCTTAAATCACATTGTAGAAATATATTAACATAATTAGGTTTTAAAAGTAAACCATTTTAAATTTAATATCTTAATATTTCAGGAGTACGAATAACAACTTTCAAATTTTTCAAATACTCAAAATCTCAAAAAAACAATTGTTACTATTTTGGTTTAAAAAAATGGGTTAAATTCTCTTGTTCATAAGTTTAATATAAAGCTATTTCAATTTCTGTCCCAAATATATATATAACCACTATAAATGCAATTTTTTTTATTTACTAAATGCAATAAGATCAAAGGATAATCTGTAAAATTTTAATTGTAACTACGACAATTAATTTAGCGAGTTTATAATTTTTAGTTGAATTAAATTATATTATTATTAACAAAAAAATATATAAATATAAATTTCAAATTATACAGGATTAGTATTATCTTTTTTTTCTTCTCTGACATTAACTGTTTTCCAAATATGATTTGGAAATACCAATTCATATGCACTATGGACAGCACTATTCAGAACGAATCTACTTACAAATAACAAAATTAATGATAAATAGCCTTCATCACAATATAGGAAAAAACATATATATCCTATATGTAAATATAATTGGAATAATATAGGATATATGAGTGAATATGTTGATGCACAATCATCTTTAAAAATGCATCTGATAATAGTATAGTTAATAAAGGTGAAAGAATGCTTATCCATTGAAACAAAAACATGTATTCGGTAGATGGAAAATGGTCTTTGAAATAGGTTTGAATGATTAATTGACTAATATAAATTAGAATTGGAGAAATCAAAAAATAGGTACAATTACACATCCCACCACAAAATCTGGAATTGAGAGACTTATCTCTTCATATAAATTAGAAATTGTATTTATTAAAGTCTTAGCTCATTCAGATAATGCTTTCAATAATTTAGCA